GGAGCAGCTCACTCTGTCACCCACATTGGAGTACAATGGCATGATCTCAGCTCACTGCAACCTCCACTGCCTGGGCTCAAGCAATCCTCCTGCCTCAGCCTCCCAAGTAGCTGGGACTACAGGCACACACCACCACACCCAGCTAATTTTTGTATTTTTTTGTAGAGAGAGGGTTTCGCCATGTTTCCAGGCTGGAATTTTTTTAATTTTTAGTAGAGATGACGTCTTGCTATGTCACCCAGGCTAGTCTCCAACTCCTGAGCTCAAGTGATTCTCCTACTTCAGCCTCTCAAAGTACTGGGATTACAGGTGTGAGCCACTGTGCCCAACCTTATTTTATTGATTGATTGATTGATTGAGACAGGGCCTCACTCTGTTGCCTAGGCCGGAATGCAGTAGTGCAATCATGGCTCACTGCAGCCCTGACCTCCCCGGGCTCAGATAATCCTCCTTCCTCAGCCTCCTGAGTAAGTAGGACTATGGGTGTGTGCCACCATGGTTGGCTAATTTTTTTTTTTTTTTTTTTTTTTTTTTTTTTTGTAGAGACAGGGTTTTGCCATGTTGCCCAGGCCGGAATTTTTGCTTTTAACCAAATATATTTTAAATAACTCACAAGGGGAAGAATAGCCTATGATATTTATTCAGACACTTGTCATTTCTATTCTTCTTCATTCCTGATGTTTCTACTAGCAATTAATTATCTTAGTTTTTCTTCATCTGAGAATATCCTTATTTCACCTTCATTCTTAAAGTATATTTTTACTGGATATAGAATCCTTAGTTGACAGCTCATTTCCCTCACAACTTTAAAGATGTTATTTCACTTCCTTCTGGCCCCCATGGTTTATAATGAAAAATTTGGTTTTCTGAATCCCATTGTTCTTTAGTCGTGTGTTGTTTAAGATTTTTTCTTTGTTTCAGTTTTTAGAATTTTTATTATAATGTATCTGAGTATATAGAAGTCTTTGAGTTTATTCTATTTGGCATTCATTAAGCTTATTGAATCTTTAGGTTTATGTCTTTTGACACATTTGGGAATTTTTCAGCCATTATTTCTTCAGATTTTTTGTGTGTACTACACTTTCTCCCCTCAATCTGGAATTCCAATGACATTGATTTCGGACTTTTGATATTGTCCCACAGGTCTCTGAAATTCTGTTAACTTTTTTTTTCCCAGTGTTTTTTCTCTCTCTTGTTCTGATTGGATTATTTCTGTTGACCCATCTTCAAGTTGACTGACTCTTCTGTCATTTCTATCCTGCTTGGAGCTCATCCAGTGAGTTTTTATTTTGGTTATTATATTTTTTCATTTCTCAAATGGCACATTGGAAGAACAAACAGAACAACCAATGACAGGAGATGGGACTAGAGAAATAAGCCCAAAACTGCCTAGACAGAGCTTTGTAGGCAACAGTAGAGCATCTAGATCTTATGCAAAGTACAGAGGAAAAATCACTGGGGATTTTAAGGAACGGAATAGAATGATGTGATATACAATTTTAAAAGGCTATTTGAGAATGTATTGATGGGGAAAGAGTGGAATCAATAGATCAGCTAGGAAGTGTTGTCTTGGTCCAAGAAGGACTGTGGTGACCTGGACGAGGCAATCACAGTGGAGCTGAGCACCTCCATCTGGCCCTGCACTACCCCCACAGGCAGCCTGAACCTCAGGGGGCTCTAGATCCTTATGCTTCCAAGGAAATTGCTTCTAGACTCCTGTCACCATGGCAGCTACACTTCTCCTACCTGGATTGGTCGCTGGAGTGGCATCATCAACACTGAGCGACTGATCCTCACAATAAGAACTGGTTGCCATGGTGCTACTAATTATGCAAACAAGAATCTGCCTTTCTTTTGCAGGCTCAGGGTCCTTGACTAGCTCTGTACCTAAGGAAAAATCAGGGAGGGAGAGAAGATCGTGACACTGGAGCCAAGGGGAAGCTAGCTGTCAGGTGGTTGCTGAGTCACCATTCTTAAAGACTTGCCCAAGTCAAGACTGCTACTAGAGGCTCTTATATAGTGGGGTGAGGGGAGCTTATATTGTGGAGGAGGAGCCCCTAGCACATATACACACAAATTTCAAATCCCATTTTCCTCCCATTTTAGAGCTTCTTTGAACTGGTTCCTTCTCTGAGCAAAATTTTGTCACAGATTGGAAGGCCTTCCTCCTCTCCCAGCCCCATTACCCTGCAGAGAGGCAGTTCTAGGACAACTTGCTACTGGATTTTTTAAAGTGGGTTTTCATGAAAATTCTTTAAGCGGGCTTGTCTGGAGGTAAGACAGTGTGGGCCCCAGCCAGAGCTTCTGAAGTAAATTATGTAAAACCAGAACAGAGGGGACATTTGAGGCAGGGATTGGAACAGTAAAACTCCTTAGTACACATGGAGCCTGGGCTTCTGATCTCCTTCTCCTTCCAGACATCATTTGTAACATGAATGTAAGGCAGGGTAGGACCACAGCTGAATTACAATCTTCCTTCGCCCACTCTCCCCAGCTATACTTTACGGTAGTCTTTCTTTCTTCTTGAGAAAGAAAGTTCCTTCCTATGAACCCCTGGTTCAATAGGCCTGAGAACCTGCTAAGTCTTCTGAGGCTATTACTCTCAGCTTAGAATCCCTTCCAATGAACAGTAGAAAGAAGAGTAGCATCAATGTTCCTGTACATTTATCATTTTGATAGCCATTCTCCTGGTGGTTTAAAATCTTAAAATAGGCTGGGCGTGGTGGCTCAAGCCTGTAATCCCAGCACTTTGGGAGGCCGAGACGGGCGGATCACGAGGTCAGGAGATCGAGACCATCCTAGCTAACACGGTGAAACCCCGTCTCTACTAAAAAATACAAAAAACTAGCCGGGCAACTTGGTGGGCACCTGTAGTCCCAGCTACTCCGGAGGCTGAGGCAGGAGAATGGCGTAAACCCAGGAGGCGGAGCTTGCAGTGAGCTGAGATCCGGCCACTTCACTCCAGCCTGGGCGACAGAGCAAGAGTCCGTCTCAAAAAAAAAAAAATAATAAATAATAAAATAAAATAAAATCTTAAAATACTGAGAGGAGCACACTCACCTTTGTTCAGCCCACCCAAAGACCAATATTTCCCTTTTTCCAGGAGCATTATACTTCACAAAGCAGGTTCACATTCATTTGTTCTTAGGCTTCAAATTATTGCTGTAAATTTATTTTAAAATAATATGTCCAGTACATAATCAGTGATAACCAGATAAACCTCTAGCTTCTGGCGTGACAAGACAGAAACTTGTGTCAGACCCTCCTACTAACATTGAATATATACTCTAGGCAAAATAATAAAGATAACTGTATGAAAGCATGGAGACTGATCAAGAGTTAGAAACCTACAGGGAGTATCATCCTCAAAAAAAGGAAGTCCACCAAGTGACTTCTACATGTATAGGCTTTTTCTCTGAAGATACTCAGAGTTCACTGCAGTACACAGGGAAACAGCTCTGTCAGCAAGTGGCAGTCTTACTAACTGAGGAAGCAGCTTTTGGAGTATAGAGATGCCGGAGCAGCTGAAATTGAGGAAGAAATTTAGAAAATGAGTAAATTACAGAGAGAGGAACTCAAAATCTGCATACCAACTCCCCTCAAATCCTTAGCTATCTTCTAAATGGCACTTGTGCAGGGTGAGACTTCAAGGAACCTACTGAGAAAGTCAAATATCTGGACAGAGATTTTGGCAGCTGTCACAGTGTTAGGGTGACCGAGTTTGGAGTTCAGGACCCACAAAATAGAGAGTTTTGGTAAATGACTTTGGGTTTCGTTGAAATCCAAAAGGACCACACCTTAGCCATAAGCACCATATCCCAGGACTAAGAGATACGGCCTAGAATTGAGAACAGGATGAAGTAATCCTTCCCTAACCAGACTGCCACAGGATCAAGACTTTTTGCCAAAAATTTAATTGCCTGCCAGAACAAACTCAAACTATTACCCTTTAAAGATAATAATATAGTTCTGTGTATTGTATTGTAAAATCCTTTGTAATGTATCAATCCCAAATGTTCAGTATACAAACTCTTAGGTTTAAATAATCCACTATCTTGACCTCCCAAAGTGCTGGGATTGCAAGCATGAGCCACCAAGCCCAGTTTAACAAATGTTTTAAGCTTAATGAAAAAAAAATTTTTTTAATGCCAGTCTAGGATTTAGAAAGCTCAAAAACTAGCTTATAAGTACACAAGAATGAAAGCAAGAGGTCAGTTAGCTAGTTAGTTATTACAACAGCTCAATTTAAAAGAGTGCAGTGTCCAAGGCCTTGCATGGTGGCTCATGCCAGTAATGCCAACACTGTGGGAGGCCACGGTGGGAGGATTGCTCGAGCCTAGGAGTTTGAGACCAGCCTGGGAAACATGGAAAAACTCTGTCTCTATAAATTAATTAATTAATTAATTAATTGGCTGGGCATGGTAGTGCACACTTATAGTCCCAGCTACTCTGGAGGTTAAGGTGAGAGGATCGTTTGAGCCTGAGGTTGAGCAGAGGTCGAGAGGAGGTTGTGGTGATCTGAAATTGCAAGACTGTCTCAAAAAAAAAACAAAACGTATAGTGTACAGTGGTTTGGACCAGGGCGATGGCAGTGGATGTGGAGTAAAGCGAATGGATATGCCATATATATATATATATATATTGCAGGTCGAACCTATATGATTTCTAAAGGTTTTTAAATGGGTCAGAGTAAAGACAGTATCAAAGATAATAAAATAAACTAAATTCCTTGAGTGCCTACTGTTTCATCGCTGTTCATATTTAATTCTCACAACAAACCTGAGTAGGTACAATTAGCACCCGTATCTTACACGCCATCCGTTTCTCCAACCTTAGGACTGGGAGTACAGGCGGTGGTTCTTGGGACCCAGCTAATGTCCAAAAGGAGCCGGGTCAGGAATTCCAAGAGGTGAGGGTGGGGAGGCGGTAGGGGAAGGAGCTAGGGAGGCGACCGCAGGGGCAGGGCCCGCTCGCTATTGGCTGAACTGCCGAGGAGGGTTAAATAGATTCCGCGTCGCGGACTGGTGGGAAGCTTCAGCCCTGCTCAGCCCCTCGGCCACGGCCGTTACCTTCACTGAGACTCGGCCGGGGAGTGAGCACGCCGAGCCTGGGAGGATGCAGCACCCACTGTGGCCTGGGGGCTCCGAGGGGCTCCGGCTGCTTGTCTGCTTCCTGCTGCTGAACAGCTGCCCAGGGGGCTGCAGCGACATTAGTGCCCACGGTCAGGAGGAATCCTGGGGGGTGCGGGCAGGGCCCGGAAAGCGATCCTGAGAAGTGGGGGTCTGAATGGGACCTCCAGGCTAGGAAATTTGGAAGTAAAAGAATGTGCTTAAGGACGTGAGAAGAGAAAAAGGTAGAGAGCATCTCGCGAAAAGAGGCGTAGGAGTGGGATAGGCTGGGCGTATGGGGTCTGGACCCACGAGAAGGGCGTTCAGGGGAAAATTGGGGATTTGGAAAAGAGGTCGGAAAGACAAATGGACAGAGAGGTAAAACTGGCCTATGTGGCCACAGGAGAAGCAAGAAAGGCCAGAAAAGAGATGACCAGGGCTGCGGGTATCGGGGTCTTGGCTCCAGGGAGAAGGCTGGGCGGGGAGACGAGCTAGGGCTTCCTCGTGCTGTGATCCGATTTCCAATAAGGGGACCGCTAGGCTGAGGGAAAGCAGGATGGAGGGGGAATGGGACCGTCCTTCTCCCCGTCCCCTGCACCAACCCGGGTAGACACCGCGCTGACTCACGCGCCCGACTGCGCAAACTCGAGAATTCCTGCGCAGAGTGCATGGGGAAGAGAGCGCAAACTCCTAGTCTGTCGCCCCTTCTCACTGCCTGATTTTTTGGGCTTAGAGGCCAATGCAGCGGATTCAGGAACAACTGTGAGGGGAGGCCTGGTGGCAATGAGAGGATGAGAGCCGTGGGGAAGGACCGCCAAGCCTTGAGGAGATGCCTCACCCACATTCCGCCCAGCGCCGCCGCCACGCCGACTTCCCCACCTTTCAGCCCCACGGACAGCGCCAGGCGCGCTCGGGGCCCAGGCCGAGCCCGTGCGGGTCACCACTCCGTCCCACCAGTCTGGTAACGCTGCCTCAGAGAACCAGCTCCCCTTCCCGAAACTCTTTTCCTTCTCCTCAGGGTGTTGGGGGTTCCACTCCTTCCTTAAGGAGGCTTTCTCATCCCCAAATGTCTCTACTTAAAACTTTCTTGTCACGCTCACCCCCCAGGAAATTATTAGACATCCACTTGATTGGGTAGGAAAATTCCCTTTTTTAAAGACCTGTCCAGAATGACTCATGGTAACTACACTATAGCAAAAAACAGACTGTCCTCCAGCCCCATCTCACTTATCTGGAAGAAGGAAGGTGTGCATAGCATTAGGGGTTCTCTTCCCCAACCCCTGTCCTTCCCCCATGCACAACTGGGCAAACTGTGGGTTTCAGGAAAAGGATGCAGACCCTCAAACCCTAAACAAATCAATACTTTTTCTTTCTAATGATTCCAGGCCTTCTCCCTAACACTTCCAGGCTTCAATGATTTCCCTAAGATGAAGCTCACCTGTTTCCCCAAACCCCACCTACCCACCTGATTACCTTTCCCGTGTGCTTAGCTTTCTGAGCCTCTGCTCACCTGAACTTCTACCTTTGCCTGTAAGTTTGGTTCTAATCTGTAAGTTGGTGCCAAGAGTGAACAAGGCCCAGGGGCTGAAGAATATGGCAAGTGGTGATGGAGGAAGGGAAAAATTAAAGAAGGAAGACTTGAAGCAGGCAAAGGTGCTGGTAGGGGGAACAGAGGTCAGGGGTCCAGGAGCAACAGTACAAGGAACCTGCTTCTCTTCAACTGAGATGTGGAAGGCTTCTGGCCAGATTCCTTGCTGACACCACTATTTTGCCCTTAGATGGTCAGGACCAAGTAGGAGTAGAGCAGCTTTGGCCCCTCCAAGGATTTGCCACCCCAGTCTTCCAGCATTTACAGGTTGTGTTCCAGCAGATTTTGCCCCAAGGTAAGTAAAAGCTGGAGAACAGAGGTTGGGACCTGGTTAGATATGGGGAGGGGGAAGAGGGGCTATCTGACCTGAGGACAGGCTTTCTGTTCCCCAAATATCTCTACTTAAAACTTTCTTGTCACATTTACCCCCATGGGGATGAGACAGGAGTAGGGGTGGGATCTGGATGGGTGGACTATTTGCACTAGAACACCCTGGAAGAGCCCAGTAGAGGCTTCTAGGGAAAAATACACCTGAAAAAGGCCAGCATCCAACTCCTTGAGACTAGTCTCCCCTCAACCCCGGTACTATATGAGCTTTCCCAAAGCCAGGACTCCTCAAGTTCTCAGCCAGGAAAACACTCACCCACTTCAGCCTCTGAGTAGGAAATTGTATGACCAACAGATGGAAGGAATGAAAGGGAGTGGAGAGTCCATTGGCAACATGTGGCTGACCCTGTTTTAGAGCAGAGTTTCATGAATGTTGGGGAGGAGAGAGTCAGATAGGAAATCTTCCTTGAGTTCATATTACCACTGCTAATGCCTAATATGTGCATAGTGCCTTAGAGCAGTAGTTCTCAAAGTGCACCCCTGGACTGGCAGCATCAACCTCACCAGGAAACTTGTTAGAAATGTGAATTTTTGAACTTCAGCACAGACCTACTGCATCAGAAGCCCTAGGGATGGGAAACAGCAGTCCGTATTTTAACAGACCTTGCAGGAGAGTCTGATGCACACGCTAAAGTTTGATAATCACTGCCTTGGCATTTTCTAAGCACTCTTTACATTCCTAACCTCATTTAATCCTCACAATAGCATCAAATGAACCAGCAAGGAGACTGTCATCATAATCCTAATTTGAATATTATATGCTAGGCACTATGCTAAGCAACTTTAATACGTCATCTTGTTTAATTCTTTCTGTAAAATGTAATCTAATGTGTACTTGAGGGAAAGGTTGATCTGATCCCTGGAGTGGATCTGAGTGTCCCAGGTGTCAACTCACCCCATCTTTTCATCCTGCAGGTCTGTTCTGGAAGGATGATATCACCCAGGATGCCATGATCCAAAAGATGGAGCACACCAGCAGACTGCATCCCCAAGATCCATGCCTGAAGGATGGCAAGGCAGTTTTCCCCACTAAAACCGCTGGGGTGAGGTGCGTGAGACCTGTGGTCATTCCAACCATTCTGGTAGACAGACGGAACAGGGAAGGAATGTGTGCTAAAGCTGCGGGTAGAAGTTTCCAGGAGCACTGTGAGGAGAATAATTCAGAGGTCCTGTTTGGAATCAGCAGAGAACAATTTCATGATCCATTAGTGATATCTGCAAAGGGAGGGGAGGTAGGTGTGGCAAGCCTAGGTCCAGTGTGTCATTCCCTGTCTCTTCTAGAAGCAAGCAAGAGGAGAAACTTTGACTCCTATTCCCCACAGTGAGTCTCATGTATCTTCTCAAGAATTGTGAATCCCTGACTTTGTATCCAATTGCTTTTCCTGTGGGGCCCTCTCACCCTTTTCTGCCTCCTTCTCAACTCCTGGTTTCCCTCCTCACAGAGCCCCCTGGCCAAGGTGAACAGGGATCAGTGCTTTACCTCCAAAGTGGTTTCTAAGGTCCTGAAACAAGAGGTGGCCAACCCTGTCAAGGTAAGGGGCTCACTTTTTCTTGGGAGGTTGGACCTGTTTAAATGAGGGAGGCAGATAGGAAGAAGAGAATGGGCATTGGGATGAGGGCAGACAGCTGAAGGAAAGATTTTTCCATTCCTAATCAAAGGTACCCCTAATTTCCTGTATCTCTCAGACTTCCTATAGGCGTTCATATGGGGGGCTGGACATGATGCAGGTGCTGGGAGCCTCTAAGGAAGAAATTATCTATAAGATCATGCATAGGCATTGAGTTTAAAATAGGCATTGAGAGTTTAAAATAGGCATTGAAACTGCAGAGTTTTCAAAATTAAAGGTCTTCCTTTTTGCCATATACGCCTTTGTATACAGCAAGTGATAGCAACACTCCCTCGATGAATGGGAGGTGCAGCTCAGAGACCCTCACATTCAGCCTCCCCATTGCTCTACTCTATGGCCTGGGCAAGTCACCCGGGCAAGGCTCTGAGACATCTCCTTGGGATCTTTGAACTCTTCAGAATCCAGAATGGAAACCGCCCATCTAGTACTACCATCCATCTTTATAGATGAGAAATTGAGGCCCAGGCCATGGGATGTACTCAAGGCCACACCATGGGTTTGTGGCAGAGCTAAGACTGGACCCAGGTCTCCTGATTTCCAGCTCTTTCCCCTGCACAGTCCCTGCCCTTCCTCTCAAGAACTGCAGTGGGATTGGGTCATTCCAAACATCAGACTCCTCCACATTGAAAAAAGAGGGGTTTTTTTTGTTTGTTTGTTTTTGTTTTTGTTTTGTTTTGTTTCGTTTGGACTAAGACCTAAATTATAAGAAGGTGGCAACCAGAGGAAGATGTAAAGGAAGGGCATCTTAGGCAGATAGGCAGAGAGCATTGCCACTACAAATGTCCTGAGATACCCATACCATGGCATGTTAAAGAATGGACAGAAAAGTCAGTGGCAGAAGATGAGGGTGGAGAATTAGACCTAGGACTGACCACACAGGGGCTCACAGATCATAGCAAAAGGTTTGGATTTTATTCTAAGTGCAGTGGTAATTTAACTGGGAAATTTTAAGGAAAGGAATGTCACAATGTGATATGATTTTAAAAGGCCTCCCTGGTGATGTTGAGGAATGAACTGTAAGGAGAGCAAGAGTGAAAACTGAGAGATCTGTAAGGAGAGGCTCATCCTGGTCCAGGGAGACCGAGGTGGCTTGGATTTGGGTGGTGGCAGTGAAGCAGGGCACCCCCGGCTGGTTGCACCCTCCATCTAAAGGCAACCTGCACCACAGGGGGTTCCAGCTCCTCATACTCTCCAAGGAAACGGATTCCTACTTCCATATGTGGCAGCTGGGCTTCCTAAGCCTGGATTGGTTGCTAGGGCAACATAATCAGAGCTCAGTGACAGAAATGACAGAGACCTACCTGTGGGGGACTGGTTGCCCTGGTGCTCCCAGGAATAACGCAAACAAGGAGCTGCCATTCTTCTCCAGACCTGAGCTCAAGGGCAAACCATGGAGAGATGGGGCTACATGTGAGATCCAAGGGTACAGGCTCTCAGTCAGTGAGCTGTCACCATGCCGAAGGGTTACTCAAATCAGGCTGTTACTACAGTATTTGTGGAAGGAGGGCAGATGAGGGAGGAGCCATCATCTCACATCCTGACTCTAGATCCCTTGTTTCTTCTCATTTTAGGACTTCTCTGGACCATTTCCTACTGTGGGCCACAACCTTGTGGCTGATTGAGACCTCATGTGGAGCCTCCCTGCCCCAGCACCCTTCCCATTGACCTTCAGAGGGGCAGTTCTTGGATGACCCAGATCTGAATCATTAAAGTAGACTCTCAAGCAAACACTGTCTGTGGGCGTGTCTTGAGGCAAGATGGGTGGGGGTTGAACTTGGCCAGAGCCTCCAAAGGGAGGGAGGTGGGATGAAAACATGGGGTGGGGATGAGGGGAGCACAACTCTTGACTGATGGAAGGCTGACTTCTGTCTTGTTTTCCTTCCACTGATAATTCCTGGAGTGGGGAAAGTGTGAGTGAGACCACAGCTGGAATGGCAGCACCCCCACCCCCAGCCACATCCCAGCCACACTGTGTGGTCTAGTTGCCCATCCTTTCACATTATGGGGAGGTGGACTCCATATTCATTTATTTTACCCCTCATGCCAGGCAGGCCTGGCCTCTGCTGTTTTTTGAGGGTCCCCACCTCCAGCATTATAGCCCCTGCCAGGCTTTCCCACCCATCCTGTCTACAAGGACCAACAGATCAGTGCTGAGGTCAGAGTGTACACACATTGGATATTCTGATCGTTCTTGCCAGTTTGCTCCTGGTAGCTTAAAATCTTAAAAGGCAGTTGGCAATCTCACCACCCATGCTCAGCCAACAACCAAACACTAGAATTTCCTATTTGCAGAGCTTTATACATCTTGAAGCACTTCCACACACGTTGGAGGCTCACAGGTGTAACCAAATGGGCAGGTATCAAGGCTGGGTTTCTTGGCCAGGCACAGTGGCTTACACCTGTAATCCATCCCAGCACTTTGGGAGGCCAAGGCGGGTGGATCATTTGAGGTCAGGAGTTCGAGACCAGCTTGGCCAACATAGTGAGACCCCCCATCTCTACTAAAAATACAAAAATTAGGCTGGGCACGGTGGCTCACGCCTGTAATCCCACACTTTGGGAGGTGAGACAGGGGGATCACCTGAGTTCAGGAGTTTGAGACCAGTCTGGCCAACATAGTGAAATATCATCTCTACTAAAAATATAAAAATGAGCTGGGCGTAGTGGTGCACACCTGTTATCCCAACTACTTGGGAGGCTGAGGCAGGAGAATCACTTGAACCCAGGAGGTGGAGGTTGCAGTGAGCTGAGATCATGCCCCTGCACTCCAGCCTGGGCAACAGAGCAAGATTCCATCATAAATAAATAAACAAACAAACAAACAAACAAAAATTAGCCAGGCATGGTGGCACACTACTCAGGAGGCTGAGGTAGGAGAATTGCTTGAACCTGGGAAGCAGAGTTGCAGTGAGCCAAGATCGCACTACTGCACTCCAGCCTGGGCAACAGGGTGAGACTCCATCTCAAACAAACAAACAACAACAACAACAAAAAGAAAACACTGGGTTTCTCTAACGAATTGGAACTTGGCCACACCACATCTTCCCCATTTAAACAACCCAGAGAAACTACATGACTAGTTCTTAATGATCCATATTCTCAGTCATGCTGCTGTGGTTGCCCTTTCCCTTCTTGTTGTGTTCAAGGACGTAGCTAAAGCCAACGTTAGACCAGTCATACTCATTCTTACCTAGTTCTTATCAAATCAGTTAACCCCTGCCACTCATCCATCTTTCCTTCTTACACCTTTCTTTCTCATTCATTTTCAAACATGTATGTAATCATGTGCTTCACTGTGCCTGGCCTTTATGCTGAGTCACATATTTGGTTCCTGCCCTCAAAGACCTTTAAGAGTAGTCAGGGCGGGGTGTGGTGGCTCATTCCTGTAGTCCCAGCACTTTGGGAGACTGAGGCAGGCAGATCACTTGAGCCCAATAGTTTGAGACCAGCCTGGGCAACATGGCAAAACTCCATCTTCACAAAAATTCAAAAATTAGCTGGGCATGGTGGTGTGCAGCTATAGTTCCAGCTACCTGGGAGGCTAAGGTGGGAGGATCACTTGAGCCCAGGAGGTCGAGGCTGCAGTGAGCCATCATTGTGCTACTGCACTCCAGTCTGGGTGACAGAGTGAGGCTCTGTCAAGAAAGAGTCAAGAAATAATCAAGAAATTAAGAGGCTCTGTCAAGAGGCTCTGTCAAGAAATAGTCAAGAAAGTAAGCCACATATAACATAGCATCATTCAGGTATCTACAGGGAGTGAATGCAGTGGACACCCCACCCCATATCTCCTGGCCTGCATCTCCATTTGCCTGCAGCTGCAGGGGAACAGTTCTTGAACCTGTCAACCTTCCCACTTCACGTTGTAGGATTCTACTTCTCATCCTGTAGGCTTTCTGGAATGCCAAGGGACTGCCCACCTGTGCCCCAGGCAGCCCTGAAGCACCTGGGATGTAATGCCCCTAGAGGCAACTCTCAAACAGTTAAGGACCAAATTTAGTGCAAAAATATCCCAGATTCCACCAGCCCTTAGTGGACTATTCTGAGGAATGTTCAATATGATTCTTCAGAGGGTCCCTAGTGAGATTCAGCCTAGTTGCCCACAGTGGTAACCTGTTCAGCAATGCACTTAATATTGTTGGCTTTTCTTCCTTCTATGGCTTACTTTCCCTGTCCCTCATCTGTGATTTCTGGAATCATCTCCCACACGAACTACCTGCACCCAAATTCTTATTTATTTATTTATTTATTCATTCATTCATTCATTCATTTATTTTTGAGGCCCAGATCTCACTCTGTCACCCAGGCTGGAGTACAGTAGTGCAATCATACCTCACAGCAGCCTGTCTCTCAGGATTCTTCCACCTCACTTGAGCCCGAGAGACTGAGGCTGCTATGAAAAATTGGAAGAATCCAATTCTTCCACCTCACTTGAGCCTGACTAGCTGGTACTACAGATGCTCACCACCACGCCTGGCTAATTTTTTTGGTTTTTAGTAGAGACAAGGTCTCACTATCAAACTCCTGAGCTCAAGCAATCCTCCTGCCTTGGCCTCCCAAAGTGCTGGGATTACCAGCGTGAGTCAACATGCCCAGCCCAAGTTCTTGTCTCACTCTGCTCTTAGGTCCACACAGACCAAGCCTACTATGTGCCAGACACTCTTCTAGGCCCTGGGGATACAGTTGTGAAAAAGTCAGAGTATCCACTGCCATGGATTTGGTTATAAATCATTGACTAACTGCCTGGGTATAGGGAAGAATCTAAGCAATTTATCTGGCCCGCAGAGCATTCAAGTTCTTGTCTCACCAACCTCTTCAATGCTGCGGTGTTTCCCCCATTCTGCCATCCTATGGGCGCCAGCAATTCAGCCCTATTTGCATTTCCCCAAACATGCCCAGTTGGTTTATGCTTCTGGGCCCTTGTATCAGCAGTTCCCTCTGCATATAAGTACCCCATCCCCAGCACACATTGTCAATCTTATCTGAAAAATCTAAATTATCCTCTGTGGTCCATTCTCTGACCCTCCTAACATCACCCCCATGCCCAGAGCAAAGTTGCAGAGGTTGGAAAGGAAAAACCTATAGGGGACATTAAATAATCTGATAATTCTGGGACATGGCGAATGGGTAGGAAAGATGGGAGTTTTTAGAAAGGAAAGCAGGTTCAGTTCCTATTGCAGAGGACTAGGTTATCTAATTTGGGTAGTATCTGATAGGTAATGAGGAGACACTAAATGTCTTTGAGCAAGAGAACACGATGAAAGTTGTACTTAAGCATAGCGTCACATTTCTGTTTAAGGATGGATTAGAGAACAGGAGAAAGTGGAAACATTTTAGAAAGACTGTTGCAATGGTGGGGGTGTGCCACACAGGACCTGAATGGGAGTGAAAGAGGACATGTATGAGAGATATTTTGAAGGATGAGTTAATAAGCCTTGGTAACTGTTATGGGTTGAATTCTGTCCACCCCCAAAAAACAATCATATGTTGAAGTCCTAAATCCCAGCACCTCCAAATGTGACGTTATTTGGAAATAGGGTTGTTGCAGATGTAGTTAGTTAAGATCAGGTCATTAGGACAGACTCTAATTCAATGTGATGAGTGTCCTTATAAAAAGGGGAAATACACAGTGGCCAGTGCTCATAGTCCCAGCTACTCAGAAGGCTGAGTCAAGATAATCGCTTAAGCACAGGAGTTTGAGACCATCCTAGGCAATATAGGGAGACCCAATCTCAAAAAAGGCAGGGGCAGGATTTGAAGACAGCCATAGCTACAGCAAAGACGATGTGAAAAGTTAAAGAGAATGGAAACCATCCACAAGGCAAGGAGAGAGGTCTGGAACAGATTTTCCCTCACAGCTCTCAGAGAGAATCAACACTGCCAACAGCTTGGTTTCAGATTTCTAGCTTCCAGAGCTGTAAGACCATAAATGTCTGTTGTTAAAGCCACCCAGTCTATGGTACTTTGTTACAGCAGCCTTAGCAAACTAGTGCAGATGACAGGGCTTTGTTGAGAGAGGAGCCTTACCTGAATTTAGAGATGTTGTGACTGAGGGAATAAAAGTGCCATTCACAGAATAGGAATATCTGGAGAATTGGTTGGAGAAGGAAAATGGATTTACTCTGAAGAGTTAAAGCTGGGAGCTCATTTAAGGACATCATCACAGCTGTGTCCTCCTGTCTCTTTCCTACTTCATTACCTTTTCTTTGGATGTCTGATCATTTTTGTCAACACATGCTGTGGTATCTTCTATATTTATTTTTTCCTGAATTTCTGCTTCTGGTAATGATGCACCAGGTCATTACCTCAGGCCCTTTGGATGTCTGATAATTTTCGTCAACACATGTTGTAATATCTCCTATATTTATTTTTTCCTCAATTTCTGCTTCTGGTAATAATGCACTAGGTCATTACCTCAAGCTCATACTCCTCAGGCCTCCGCTGAAGACAACTTGTCTTAGACTGATTCCTCCCAAAGTCAAACTGTGAAATAAGGTCTTGTATAGGGGTTGTTTAGTTTGGGAAGATATCACAAGATCAACATAAAGTATAACAATAAAAAAAGAAAATAAAAAAAGAGTGGGAGAATGAAAACAGTGAAACAGAATGAGTTGTAAGCCACTGGGAATCAGTTCTTCTGGGGACTCTTTAAGCATCATGTACAAGATATACCCTACAATGTCCTTCAGAAAGAAAACTATTTATCTTCTAGTTTCCATCTGCCATTGGAT